TTAGGAAACTAGATTTAGTTTATTCTTGTTATGTATTGAGAAATTGAGATCGACCAAAATGAAGATTTAGAGATCAATCGAGATCGAACTATCAAAACGACCGACTACTGTTATGAAAATATCAATAAAATTATATAAGACTGTCAATATCTAAGGTTAAGGAAATTGTCTTTATGTAAATATATTATTTCTATTTATTTTAATTTAAAAAACTAGGTTTAGTTTATTCTTTATATAAATCAATACAGCTTGTAAAAATTTAAGAAAGTTATTTGATGATGATAATAAATTAATATCTCAAAGATACTGTCAAATTTAAACCAAATGCGACATGTTATCTTTTACCATCATCAATAACCAGGGATCTTACCGATTCCTAGTTTTAAAATAAGGAATGATCTTTAGAATCATCAATAACTAATCATTCAATACTACTCATGCTAGTGTAAACAATTATTTTTCTTTTAAAAACGTTTAAACAGTTAATGTGCTAGTTATATACCAGTATAAACTTATAATCTGATTGGTGACCCCGTTTGAAACGAACGGTTGAAAGCTTTTGAGCGATTAAACAGAGGGTCGTTTGACAAGGCGGTTAGAATTAGTGGTTAGAGAAGGCGGTTGGATAATAAAGAATAATTCAAATATAAGGTTGATTGGTATCATTGTAGCGGTTGAATAGTATAATTAGATAATATAATTAGATAAAATTATGTAATCGTTGAATAGTATAATTAGATAATATAATTATATAAAATTATGTAATAACTTTTTAAAAATGATTTTATAAAATAAAGCACTGAACAATAATTTAAATTTAATAATATAAATTATAAGTCAATATATATTACAATTATTCACTTTGAAAGCGAACTACACCAAAAATTGAACGGATACCTGAAATATCTTAAACATAAATTAACCTAAAAATACTTAGATTTAAAATCAGATATATTCATATATTAGGCATTTATCGTTCAATTTGGGTATTGTGGATATATTGGATAAAAATAATCAATTTAATTAGCTATAATTTTTTAAAAAAATTTGGATAATTCGATTTCAAAATAATTAAATCAAACTAAATGAAAAAAAACAACAGTACTATGAATATTTCGCATAATCTTTAAGTAGTACGAGTAT